TACATGCCTCATACTCTGCTTCGTTGTTCGAGACTTTGAACCTGAGCTTGAATGCTAAAGGGATACGGGAATCGTCCGGCGCTATCAGCAACATTCCTATCCCATACCCATATTGGTTCGACGCTCCGTCAAAGTACATCGTCCAAGTTTCATCTTCAACGTGAATGGGGTGTCTACAGTTGCTCCTCTTTGACAGAACTCGAAAGTCATAAGTGACGGGAGTGAATGTCAAAGCCCAGAGACGACCCATTTTTGACAAGGCCGAAGACTTAGACAAACATACAAGATAACACAGAGGTGCCCGTAGGCATGCCCGCAGGCAGGGGGCAAGATGCAAAATGACATGCAAGAAGACTTTGATAATTGGACTTACACGCTTCGCGATGCCGGTTTGAAAGTTGGACTTATACACTACGCGAAGCCGGTTTGAAAGTGGACTTATACGCTACGCAAAGCCAAGTTGAAGAGTGGACTTATACGCTACACGAAGCCAGTTTGAAAGTTGGACTTATACGCTACGCGAAGCCGGTTTGACGAGTGGACTTATACGCTACGCGAAGCCAAGTTGAAGAGTGGACTTATACGCTACGCGAAGCCAAGTTGAAGAGTGGACTTATACGCTACGCGAAGCCAGTTTGAAAGTTGGACTTATACGCTAAGCGAAGCCGATTTGAAAGTTGGATGTGCCCGCAGGCAAGGGCAAAATGCAAAAATGATTTTGATAATTGGACTAACACGCTTCGCGAGGCCGGATTAAAACTCGGATGTGCCCGCAGGCGTGTCCGCAGGCAGGGGTAAAATGCAACTGAAAGGGCAAGAAGCCGAAGGTAACTTGATGATCATGCAAATGCAGCATGCTGTAATGAAGCAAGTATTCGCAAATATATGCAACAGTTTTAAGCAAGAATGCAAAGCAACAACTACATTTCATGCAGTTAAGAATGCGAAGAATTATTCAATTCTCGCCACGTCTCACACGGAGAAGATACAATACCTGCACGATTCGTCTGGTCGCACCAGCCTCAAATGAACCATACATACAATATCGTGCCTGCAAATGAGAGAAATTGCAACAAGTACAATATGCTACCAACATATATTTAATGCGATTCCAAAAGTTCGACACACGCAGTGCCAGTGAGTGAATGCATCGTGATGCGAGAGAAATGTGCGTGACAACGCGTGCTCAACCACAGAGGTACAGTAATATCAAGAAATGTGCACCACAATGCAAGTATACTAGCGAGAATGCAAGTTATGCGCATGATAGTGCAAAACGAACATAAACCAAAGTGCCCGTTTGTCACGGAAAAAACGAGCACGAAAACGCGCATTTCGGCGAAGGCAACTCGATCACAACCTCCGATTCACTTCCAGGAAGGACTACAACACATTCGCAAAGGATACACTTCGATTCTGATGAATGATGATGAGACACAAGTCAGAACTTGAAACTGGAGTTCCGGCGGAGCAATTTCGCGACCGGAAGTGTACTTTTCTTGAACTTTTTCAGGTCCCGGGAACTCCGATCTTCCTCAAGATTTGCAGGGAGCTAGGTGAGCATGTGGGGAGCATGGCCGGCCGTTTATCTTCCCAAGGGGAGGTGGCCAACCGGTTTCCACTAAAGCTAATGGCTGGCCGGCCATTTCTGCCAAAAGCAGATAGCTGGCCGGCTAGAAAAAGGGACCGGCCGGCCATGTGCTTTTTCCGGGGCTATTTTGGTCTTTTTCCCTCCTTTTTGCATGCCTTTTCAACCAAGGCTTGAGGCTTATAAAAGGCAACCGAACCCTCCCCTTTTTCTTGCCTCCTTCAACACTTTCCTCTCCAGATTTGAGTTTCACGCGCGTTTTCCAACGTCCCGCGCAAATTGTTTTCGTAAAAACATTCAGTTTCAAGCACTTTGGAGCGATTAAATCCCGGCCTCGGAGCTTCTTTTCGCATTTTCACCACTTGAAGTAAGCTTATCTCAATATTTGGAATATTTTCTCGGGAGTTGACTTTTGTTGACTTTTTCCAATTTTGGCTCATTTTGCTCATCTTTGCTCCTTTTGCAGATCTTCTGACGATGGCAGGCGATCCTTCTCATAGTGGAGGTTTTCCGGGTGCCGGGGACGGTTTTGATCCCATGACTTTACCCCCGAGGGCCCGGCCTTTCATTCCCGGGAGGTACCGTCCGCGGGCACACATCCTCCCGCGCGCTGTTTTCCGTCACTTTACTAGCTTTGACGAGGGAGCACCCAGGGATCTGCTTCTCAGGGAGCCGGAGCAGCATCTTTCTCACGAGGCCCGAGAGGTATTTACTTCACCTCCTGCATTTTTCGAACATTCCGTGCCTTTGCCATGCTTTAACTCGCAGTTTAGCTTATGACATAGTATTTTGCTTGCGTCTCGAACATGTAATTTAGAACACTCGAATCTCTGAACACCCGGCTCACTATTAATTGCGAACACACAGCCCACATCAGAACGCACGGCTCAAACACTGATTTATCGAACACACAGCTCGTATTAGAACACACGGCCCAAACTTCAAATTTTCTGAACACGCAGCCCAGGTAGATAGTGAACACGCAGCCCACAAATTACTGAAAATTGAACACACAGCCCAAACTTCAAATTTACTGAACACGCAGCCCAGATAGATAATGAACACGCAGCCCAAACTTCAAATTTACTGAACACGCAGCCCAAGTAGATAGTGAACACGCAGCCCACAAATTACTGAAAATTGAACACGCAGCCCAAATTAGAATTTGCATGTAGCTTATTTCACTTCATCGGCACACAGCCCATTTCATTCCATTGGCACACGGCCCATATCATCTCATTGGCACACAGCCCTCTCATTTCATTGGCACATAGCCCATTTCATTTCATTATTGACACATGTATTCATTCTGAATGCAGGGTGGTTCCCGCAGTGTGCGAGGGTACGGCTCCACCATCGCGCGGGATTGGTATGCCGAGCTCCCGGAGGCTGTCCGAGGCTTAGTGGACTTGGCAGGATTTGGACCCTTCTGCGTCGGGTTGTCACGTTGTCCTGCCAGGAGGACATTGATGGCAGCCTTGGTAGAGAGATGGTGGGACACCACCAATTCCTTTCATTTCTCTGCTACCGGGGACATGACCATGACCCCTTTTGACTTCGCTGTATTGACCGGCTTAGATGTCGGAGGTTGGTCCATCCCTTACGATGAGGATATGGGCGAGTGGGAGGACGCCTGGATGCATCTATTGGGGGCTCACCCGCCTGTTGATAGGGTTTCAGGGAGAGTCCGATACACTTGGTTCTCTTCCCATTTTCGGCGGGCAGAGATGATGCCTGAGACTCCCGAGGAGACAGAGCAGTATGCCCGTGGTTTCCTTATGTTCCTCTTCGGGATTACCCTGTTCGCCGACAGAGGGAACACCGTTGGGCTATATTTGCTGAGCGCTCTAGTCGACCTATCACAGGTCCACCGTTATGACTGGGGTGGCGCCGGCCTGGCTACCCTTTATTTTTACATGAGCACGACCTCCCGCGGGCGGGGCGATTTGCTTGGCGGCTACTGGAGAGCTTGGGAGGTACTTTCTGTCCCCTTGATTTACATTTCTGCTTTTCATTACTTGTACATTGCACACACGGCGCACTTTTGTAGTCTGTATTTTGCCCTCAGCATTTCGCACTTACATTCTGCACTGCTTTTCTCAGCTATGGGTTTATGTGTACTTCCCATCATTAGCCCCAGAGCTGGAGGTGGTGGGGATTCCCGTGACCCCATATTCATTGATATTCGAGGGCCCGTACCGGCCGAGGCCTCGAGAGACCCTCCTTCGCCTGCGACAGTACTTCGACATTGTACGGCATTCAGAGGTACTTCAGAACTTTCAGTTCTTTTCATTTTCATCTTTGATTTGCTCTGTACATTCTGTTTTCTGATCGGTTTATGCATTTGTCATCCGCAGATTACATGGCAGCCCTGGGTGTCCCTGGGTGATGATGTCCGACTTCAGTATACCGGAGCATCGGACATCTCCCAGTATAGGGTCCTGCTTGAAGGGTCGGTTGGCAGGGCATGGTTCCTGGGGGAACGCTTTCTGCGCCAGGTATGGGGGTACCTTTCTCAGGATATTCCCGCAGTACCTCCAGCCAGTATGCGGACCGCTGACAGACTCTCTTACTCAGAGGTAGTCGGTGCCATGCTGGGTACTGATGCTTTGCTATATGTTGAGGAGGGGGACTACGCCACCTACCGTCACATATACTTGATGCCTCCATTGACGGAAGCTCGTATCCCGATGATGAGGCTTGCCGGTATGTCATCCTCGGGTCAGGCTCGGGCTCGGGCTGCAGACTCCCCTTCTACCAGCGGGGCCGGTACTTCTAGAGGTGGGAGTAGACCGGTTCCTCCGGCTCCGTCAGTTCATCCTCATCTCGGATGGCCAGATATGCCTACTGAGTTGATGGCGTGGCAGTATGGGGCTGGCTTTCCGACTCCGATTCCACTAGAGCCTCCGATGCCCAGTGATCGATACGCCATTGATCCGGACTCACCGCCGGTATGCTCCACTTTCTTCATTCATCATTCAGATGTTTAGACACTCCTCTATTTACTGATGATTATGAGTTCATTTTGCAGCCATCGCGAGGGTACATGGAGGAGGTGGTTGGACTGGTGGCCACACTCGAAGGTATGGTCCTGCGCAGGGAGGCACAGTTGTCTGTCGCGGGCATCCAGGTACCCTTCAATTTTCTGGCACTTATCATACTTCTGATGACATGCTGATTTCTACTGCATCGATAGACTGTTTGTGTAGAGCACATCTGACACACACCCCACTTGGACACTGTATTTATATGCACCCACTTCATGTAGCCTTTGCTTGTATTTGCATCTGATGTATATATTTGGACTGATGTATTTGAATTGAACTCTTTGTTTTCAGATGCCTTCATGGTCAGGCCAGCCGCAGACCAGGCCATCTGGGCCTCCTTGGGGAGCCGGGCCATCTAGGCCTTTTCAGGGGGCGGGGCCATCCCGAGGAGCTGGGCCATCTAGGCCTTTTCGAGGAGCTCGAGGGGGGCCCGCTCGCAGACGCAGGGCTCACGTTGTGGAGGTGGAGCCTGAGGAGGAGGAGGAGGAGGCCACAGATCGTCAGTCCGAGACGTCTGCCGGGGAGGAGGAGGAGGAGGCTGAGGGGAATCCTGAGGATGACGGCGCTGACTCAGATGATGATGATGCTGTGGAGATTATCCCGCAGAAGAGGATGAGGAGTGCTTCTCGTTCCCGCTCTCGAGGACTTTGATGTTGTTATTTCCTGCTTTATTTTCCTTTTGCTAGTAGTTTGTAGCACTTTGCACATTGTTAGGCAGTTTTATTTTTCGTAAAACTTGTACCTTTGTTCATTGTAAAGCATGATGAAATGAAATAGCTTTTGAAAAGATGTTTGTATTTTGAACTTTTAGCATCGTATCGCACCAATTATTTTGCACAAAATGAAATGAATGGAAATGTGCATTGTGTAATTACCAAGTCAGGTAGTGAACCGACGCAACAAACTAAGTAACTCAACTTACTAAGATATAACAGAATCTTTAGCAAGTTTACAACTCGATAAGTAAAATGCAGCAATGTAAATAAACAAGACTTTAACAAAAATTGCTTAAACAGAGAGCAATGACTCAAAAACACAAAACACGTCCGCTCGACAAACAACTCGATAAGCAAAACAACAACTCGATAAACAAAACTCAACAACAACAAAGTGTACTTCGGACGATCTGGGCATCGGAACGCATCCGGAATGAAGGCCTTTGACTCTCCCGTTGCATGACAATGCTTGAAACTTTCCTCAAAGGGTAAAACAGGGCCGAGGAGATATACTGCAGCATTGCTGGTTATCCCTGGGAGCCGGCCGGCTATTTTTCCTGGAGAGAGAGACAGCTGGCCGGCCATTTCTGAAAAAGTAAATGGCTGGCCGGCCAGAAAAGGTGGCCGGCCGGCCACTCAGTCCTGCAGCCTCCAGATTTTTGACACGTGTCCCCGTGAATAGTGTTTTTCCTTCTATAAAAGCCTCAACTTTGGGAACATTCATTTCAACTTAGTTTCAGACAAAGATGGAGGCGTTTCTCGCAGAAAATCTCATATCTTGGATCTCTTCCTTGGATGGCTCGGAAAAGCTGAATTTCCGGGGTTTCGGCTTGAATACACTATTCACGCTGAGCCGCACTCCGCTACAGCTTCCTTTTCTCCATGCTGCGGCAAGGTTTTGGAATCCAGTGACGCACGTTTTTAGCTTTGGCGGCCAAGAGATGTGCCCCACTTTCGAAGATTTTCAGGTTTTGATGGAGTCTGAGAGCCAAGAAGAGATCTTGCCCCAGTCTCGCTTTGGCCATGCCCAGGCCTTGGGGCAGATGTGTGGGCTCACCGCGTATGATGCTCGATCTCTGATCTGTAATGGAGAGCTGGATATCCTCGGTTTGATCCATCGCTTTTCTGACGCCGGTGACCGCAGCAACCATCACTGGCAAGGTTTTCGGCAACACGCCCTTTGCTTGTGTTTGTTGTCTCGTTTTCTGCTTTCCTCGGGTTTTGGCGGAGCTAGCATTCGCCTGATTGAAGTTGCTCAAGGCTCGAGAGAAGGAAAGAGCTGTATTGCCATGACCTTGGCCGAGACACTGATGGGCTTAGATTCTGTCTATCGCCGGGAGACGACTAGATTTGCTGGGAGTCCACTACTGTTGCAGGTAATGTTTCCCACCTATTCTCACATATATATTTGCTCACATCACTCGACCCTCAGGCTCGTCTTTTTCTCACAATACCCTTGTCTTACTTTTCTCTCATCGCACATCTCTCTATTCTTTATTCTCTCATTTTCCATCCCTCCCCAGGTATGGTTAATGGACAAGTTGCAGGCCGTGGATTCTTGCCCGGCCTATTCAGCTCGAGGCTACTTCTCTCGGCAGCGTCTAGTCAATGCTCTTGACGAAAGGTGGTGGTTCGATTGGATGTGTAATTTGTCCGCAGATCGCATTACTTGGCGTTGTCCTTGGCTCAATCTCCCGGCGATGAGCTACAGTATGTCCCGGCTGGTTGGGATCCAGTTAGTTGGTCTCACCCACTGTGTATTTTATTTTCCGTTCCGGTTCTTGCGCTAGTTCGGTCATGATCAGACTTGCCCACCAGAGGGGATTGAGTACCTGGCTGCTTTCCCGATCCGAGGCGCACAACTTGCGCGATATGCTATGGCATGGAGGACTAGAGAGCTCCTGGCCCCTGCTCCCACTTTCAGTTGCACTTTGTCCGACGAGTGCTCGGATTGGCTCAACGAGGAGGCACAGATTGGGCCTAGCTTGGCGTCAGATGCTTCGTCTAGCTCTGGGAGGGGGCACGGAGACACTTGACTCGACTATGCCCCAGATTTATTGCTTTATTAGAACTTTCAAGTTTTCTTTATGATTGTAATAAAAAGCAGCTTCGATTGTATGCAAGAGTAGGAGAACTCTATTTGAAATCAATGAAATTGAAGTTTGTGGTACTGAAAATTTTCCGCTTTTGGTCCAAAAATGGTCTAAGTTGTAAAAAGGTTAATTTGAACAAAATCAACTTTTACTAAAACTTTTCAAAATCGTTTTCGATATGGATCAAAATTGGACACGCCCAAGATCTGTCACTGAGATGCACAACCCCAGATCTCTGCAACTGGAAAGTTGCCCCTAGTTTGAAGAGTACCGCGGCACTGCCTGGCAACGGAAAGTTGCCCCTAGTCTGAATGACGCTGCACGGTTGTGGCAACGGAAAGTTGCCCCTAGTCTGAAATAGCATTGTACCGGAGATCGCGATAAATGCTGATGGATAAAGATGACTGAGAGGATCAAAATGGACAAAGTTGATCGAGGAAGAGTTTATGGCTGAACTTCAAGATGAAGTTGCCTACGTATCCCGAATGATGGGAATCAAGCCTTACGTAGTTCAGGCTTAGGTTCGCTCGGGTATTTTCACTCTCCTTTTACGCTCTAACTTTTGCCTAGGTCGCCCTTTCGGGTTTTCGGCCTAGCGAGCCTCTCAAGGATAGTATTTCTTCAACTTGTCCATATTGATCGGTTGCGAAAACTCTAAGCCATCTAGATCCATCAGAACCAGGGACCAGTCCAATTAGGTCTGAACTTGCCCCTTGGGTCATGGATGGGAGCTCGGTTGTCCTTGAGCACCAGATCCCCTTCCTTTAGATTCCTGGACTTAACCTTCTTGTTGAAAGCCCGTGCAATCCTGCGTTGATAGCCTTGAACATGATACAGTGCTTTCAGTCTTCTTTCATCAAAGAGCATAAGTTCCTCAAATCTGCTCTGCTGCCAGTCTGCCTCAGCTATTTGGCACTCAGCCAATACTCGTAATGACGGAACCTCAATCTCAATAGGTAGAACGGCCTCCATTCCATAAACTAACGAGTACGGAGTTGTTCCGGTAGAAACTCTGATTGAAGTCCTGTAGCCCCACAGAGCAAATGGCAGCTTATCTGGCCAGTCCCGATAGGTTTCCACCATCTTCTGTAGTATGTGTTTGATATTCTTGTTGGCGGCCTCAACCGCTCCGTTGGTCTGCGGCCGGTATGTGGATGACTTGTGAAAAGCCACGTTGTATTTCTCCAACAAGTCTATCACTTCTTTCTTGAAGTGGGAACCATTATCTGAGATTATCTCATTTGGGACCCCATAGCGACAGATGATGTTGTTTCTGATAAACTTTGCGACGTGTGAAGCCTTCAACACCGCATATGATTGGGCCTCGACCCACTTTGTGAAATAGTCTATCGCTACTAGGATGAACTCATGCCCGTTTGACCCCTTCGGAGTGACAGCCCCGATCACATCAATTCCCCAGACTGAAAATGGCCATGGCGAAGTCATGTTGTATAACTTTGACGGCGGGATGTTCATACGATTTGCATGAATTTGACATTTGTGGCATCGCCGAACAAAACTAATACAATCCTCCTCCATGGTGGACCAGTAGTAACCCTGTCTGAGGATCTTCCGCGCTAGCATTACTCCGTT